TTTAACTTATCAACCAAAACGATAACCCAAGTGATGTATAACGGTGATTATCACACCCAAAACTCTTAGGGGTCGTTTACTAAACGTTTATCCAGTAAATGCTTACCGGGTAATTTTCTTTACCGGATGAACGTGGAAAGGGTTTAGAATCTTACCCGGTTAGAGCGGTAAAAGGATGAAGAGTCTTACCCGGTAAGAGTGGTGAAATGATGGATAGTCTTACCCAGTAAGTGAAAGTGAATACTCTTACTCGGGTAAGTATTTACCAGATAAACTGTTGCATACTATATCGTTTTGATGTACTATAATCTTATCCATAAAAATAAATTGTAGTGTTGACTCCTATCAGGGCCGGTCCTAAGATTTTTGATGCCCTGTGCGAAAATAATAAAAAATGCCCCTAAGTCTTTTTTTAAGCCAATGAAACAACGAAACATGCGATTTTTTAAAGAGTTTAGAACATATTCAAGCTAAGTGTATCATCTTCATGTTGATTTTTATTAATTATAATAAAAAATACAATTGGGGGGGGTTGGGGGGGGGCATAAAAACCAAAAAAAAATACAAAATATAGAATGATAAAAGGATAAATCTTGGATTAAGATCGTGTTTCCTTCTTTTCCAGTTTTACCATTTCCAAATTGAAATTAGCAAAATAAAAACTTTATTTCAATATATGAGACTTAAAAAATAAGGAAAACTATTAATTTTTAACTAAAATAGTAAATTACATCCAAATTACTGTCATATTAAGTAACAAGTAAAACTCGAATGTTATAGGTCAATGACTAAAGGCTAAGAACCTATCTGTTAGCAGTTTAATAAGCTTAAAACTTATTCGCTCAACTATGCATGACTGTTTCGTAGTGGCTTAATGATATAGAAAGTGACTTATCCGGTAAGCTTCTAGGGGAGCTTTATATAGAAAGTCAAGTTTTTCTTTCCAAACACGTCCCTTCTAACTAAAAACACACTCCTTACATCTGTTAAAAAACTCTCTCAAACAAAAACTTTTCCAACTTATACAAATAGATGAATTCATACAGATAACTTTATAGTTAAAACTCAGTTGCCCAATTCCTAAACTATTAAACCCAAAACTAGTAATAGATGACAACTTGATGCCCCTTTAGGTTTTGATGCCCTGTGCGGCCGCACGGGCTGCACGTGGCCAGGGCCGGCCCTGACTCCTATTGATAAATACTTACCGTGTAAACATTTGAGTAAACGGCCCCTTAGTTAGGTAATAAGTAGATAGACAGATTAGTACTTGATGGCAGCTATCCTACTCTGTCAGATATAATTGGAATGGAATATTTGAATGTTGTTCTTGAGTTCTTTTATTTTTTTATATAATTAAAACAAATCAAATATATGAATTTAAATAGGGTTTGAAAAACACAAACATTTCATATATACTCTTTTATACAATCAATGAATAAAAAAGAACTAATAGCAGAAGAACTTGTATCTGCCTTATGCTTGTAAGACTATTGAGAGGTTGTTACCAAACACTTACCCGGTAAGTACTTACCTGTAAAATTCAACATTATCATTTACTTACCGGGTAAGATTTTAGTCAATAAAAACGGCATTGTATGCAACAATTTACCCGGTAAGCACTAACCATTGTAAGAGTTGTTGCCCTCATTGGGTAAGACTTGGTCCTTGTCCAGCTCTTACCAGGTAATATTCTTGTTCCTTACCATATTCATTCGGTAAGGTAATGTGACTTGGTAAACGCTTACTTAGGTAAGCGTTTGGTAAACAGGCCCTAAATAAGTTTATTGTATATAAGTATCATATATGATAACGTAGATGATAATGTAAAACAGAGGCTGACCTATTAAGCTCCAAGTTGGGTCCCGTGTACCACTCAACTTATCTTTGTAAGTAGAAAAAAGAATTGTACGAAATGTGTTATGAAATATCTATCAAAACAGTGGAATTCGGTTAAAAACATATCAGACGACTTTGTGAGCATTTAATCCACCTTAAAAGTGTACTTGCTCAGTAAAAACTGTGGTTGGTACAATGATCCCACTTCACATACGCATCGTGAGTTAGGGGCTGTTTGATAGTTGCTGAATGGTTTGGTGCTGAATGATTAAGTGGTCAGAATGATTAAGAGACTTTCATGATATAGTGCAAAATGAAATATAATTGTTTGGTAATTGTTTACAATAAAATTAAGGGCGCTGAATGGTTAAGGGAGACACATGATACAAAATCATTCAAATGGTTTTAGAACCATTAAAAGGTAGATTTTTTTTTGCCAAACAATATTCACCTCTTAACGATTCAGAAATTCTCTTAATGAAACTATTAAGAGGTAAACAAACAACCCCTTAATTTTGTACATCTGGTTAAGAT